AGGATGTGTGGCACATTTTTATGTTCAAAACAATAATAAAATGCAACCTTTATATATGATTCTGTGAATAGAGAGTTTAACTCTTTCACTTTCACCCTTTCCTTTATTAGAAAGTCTTCACTGAAATCTTCAATGATATCTCATGGCTTTTAAATATAGTAGGGAATTCAGAATAGATTATGTGGATCAGATCATTATAAGAAGTACTGAAAGATTTGACAGAATTTGAAAATATTATAACACACAACTTCAAACATTTATTGTATTTAATTTATGCACTATTCCTGAAATTTGACTCAGAGTTGGCACAGTTGAACAAGTCGGATTATTTTTATAAACATTGGGTGGTAATGCTGTAAAGCTCAAAAATCATGGAAAATTATTAATATTAGAATGAAATTTTGAAAGTTGAATTCCCCTTGCAACCTGAGATATTTTTTTGATTAAATTTTACTGATCTAGCTGTGGGAAGGATATTATATACTTCTTACTGGAAAGGATGTTCAATTCCTTCTTTGGAAAAATGACTAAACAAATTATGGGAATATGCATCAGCATCCAAAATAACCTCATATTTGATGGAAAGATTCACCATTACCCACAATGGAGGAATGGTTGGTGAAGACGATGGAACTTGCTGAGATGGCTAAATTGACTTCTTTGATCAGAGAAAAGACAATATGTATGTTTATTGTTGACTGGAAACCCCTTATAGACTTTTTGCATAAAACATTAAAAAAATGAACTTATGATTTATAGTTTTGACGATTAGGCAGAATAGATTATAGAAAGTTATGTTGTAACCATAGAGTAAAAGGTAAATTTATATTGTACTTACAACTCCTGTAAAGAAGATGGGAAGATACTTCTTTGGATATTTTTTCTATTTTTTTCTTTTTCTTTTACTTTTTTTCCTTTCTTGCACTTTTACCTTTCTTTTTGACTTCTTTCATTTTTTCCCTTTTTCTTACTTTATATTAGTTTGTATTAGTTTTTATCTTCCTTTCTTAAAATCTTAAATAAAAATTATGTATATATTAAAAAAAATAACCTTGTATTTAAAAAGCAAATCTGATGTAGAATTCAAGTCCAATTGGAAACCATTATTGGATTATAACTTAGTACGCAGATATGTGCTACACCCCAAATTTAGTTTTTTTTTTTAATGTTTAGAGTCTATATTTTAATTGTATAAGAAATTTAGATTTCTAATGTTAATTTAATTCATTGCAGCCTATAATTTTAATTAGCGATTTATCCTGTGTTAGCCAGGTATTTTTACTTTAAAGCTTATTGCAACTTAGTTTTTTTCTTTAAAAAGTGATGTAACACATTTATAATTTTATAACTAATTAAACCTATATTGAAAAACTATAATGTCCACAATATTTTGGGTCCCATGTTTACTTATTTTTATTTTATTTATTGTACTTTACCATTATATTCTTGTTATATGTCTTTTACCTTTCATGGTTTCATGGCTTTTTTAAATGTTCAATTAAAAAAAGAGAAAAAATGATATGTTAATAATATGCAGAAATCATTGTAATTCGTACAAGTTTTACATTAGGATGCATTTTTTGTTTTGTTTATAGATTTATTAACAATATTGGATCATTTGCATAAAACAAGGGCAATTTTTGTTTGACAATTATGAATACATGTCACCCATGTATTTGTTTTAATGTTAACATGTTAATATTTTGATAGCCAACTAGAATTTGCAATAATTGGCTTGCCTCTCTAAGCAACTGATAATTTGACTCAATTTGCCCTCTAGAGAATGATCATAGATTTTTTCATTTCAATCTATGTTATATTTCAGAGTGTCTATTCATAGATAGAGAAAATTCTAAGTAATGTCACAATGCTCTTTTACCTTGGGAGAGAATTCTACAAAGTAAGGGCTTCTATTGAGAAGCCACTATCTTAAATAATTTTTGGTAATAAAAATCCTGCTCTAATGTAAGTATACATAAAGTTCATTGCTAATTTGGGAGGATAAGATCCTACCCCTATCTTACTCAAATTTGTTTTAATAATTTATATATTTAAAAAAACCAAACACTATATTGAAATTAAGTTTCCTGATGTCACTAAGTATAGATAATGCTTCAGATACTCAAAAAAAAGAAGAAGAAGAAGAAGAGGGGAAATGTGTAGAAAATAAGATGTGAGTATAGTGACCTACTTATAGACATGGAACGTTGATAAATATATTTTTCACTGAACAGCAGCATGTACTTGACCTTCAAAGAGGTCAACAGAGAAGAGTTAGAGAAAAACTATAAATAGCTAGACAAATGTGATAGATTGAATCTTATTGGAACATATTATAGATTTTATAGTTAACATTTTAAAAATGTTCTTGCGTTTGTCCTCAGAAATGTACTTTTGGTGTCATGCCAGGGTGTTAATGCCTTTTGAAATAAAATGAGCATATATTTAAGCATTTAATTTACTGTCTTGCACTAGTCACAAGTTGCAAAACAATGGGAAAATGCTGGGAGAGGTTCAGCTTCCTTGTAAATTGAAGTGAGTATTGTGAGAAGAAAGTGGGAGGAAGTTGGAGGGACTTTACAAAACGGCCCAAGAACAGAACTGCAATGCCAGAGTACATAATACTATGACAAGAAGATGACTTATTATTTTTTGAGGGGGAAGGGATTTAGGTTTTGGCATGAAACTGAGGGCTGGCGTGAGATACTCTGTTGCTGGCACTGATTGGCTGACAGACATCTCTGTTCATATATTGACCAAGAAAGGCAAGCTCTGACTGGCTGTCGCTTCTCTGTCAGGGCTATAGATTTACAAAAGAGCAAATATACTTGCATTGTAACATCCAGATAACTTAAATAGTCAGCGCAGCCAGTAGAAGCCCTGTTCCATTTAAATTGTTCAATGAAAAGGCCTGGAGAACAGAAAGGCTGGTTATTTGTATGGTTGTGGATGCTAAAATGGAGTAGCCAAAAATAATTTAAAAATTCATCTCTGTTTCATTCTTGGAATGAAAAGTGAGCTATTTACAATCAAATTGGTTTTAGCCTTTAACATATGTATATGTAATGGTATGTGGGAATGACCTTGGGAGGCAGGACAATGAGATGCAGCCAAGGGAACTGTAGATTAAAGACAGCTTAGCCTGAAGCAGGAATGTGGGTGAGGCAAGAGGGAAGAGGAAGGGAAGAGATCCTCCCTAGTTTCTTGGGCTGTAAAGGGGGTGGGAGCAGAGAAGTACTTTCAGACTTGCAAGATTGATGTCAGCTTTACAAAGTAGACCAGATAGGAAACACCACCAGATGAGCTAATTCTACTTTGTTGTAAGGTTGCAATAACTTAAGTACTACTTCCCCCCACCCCTTTTCAGCCCAAGAAACTATGGAGCATCTCTTCTGATCCTCTTGCCCTGCCCACATTCCTGCTGCGGGCTAAGCTGTCTTTTTTTCTGACCTTCCCCACGGCTATGTCTTGTTTCCCTGTCTCCTAAGGTCATTCCTACATACCGTTACAGTATATTTTAATCATAAATGATGGCATTACTGAGGAAAGGAACAAAAATGGTTTTCAAGTTTCTTGTCTAGTGTAGGCCTACTGATGTCTTTATTTAGGGGTTTCCTGTTCTGCCAAAGTCATTAGGTGTCAGGCCTAGCCCAAGGAACTCCAAGAGACAATGCCAATTCAGTCCAGCTATGTATATTAGCTACAACCTCTAGCAAGAATCTTCCCAGACTAAAACCTCCAGCCACAACAGTGTGAATTCCTCAGGGAGGTGCCAGTCTCATCCTCTTGTTCCTCC